TCTGAAAAACATGGATCTCAATTTCTTGTACCCACTCGACTTACACAGTGACAGTGTGAAGTTCTTCTCGGTGACCTGCCCCAGAAATGCCACCTACTAATCTGACAACTGTTAACCCATCTGAGCATAATGCTCATGAATTTATTCTCTGTTCATTTGAGTTCTGCTGCTGTAACACACAGATGAAGAGTTTCTTCATACACTTCATGCACACTTGTCCTAGGAGATTGTGCGAGTACTGTGTACTTCACATTCATTTGCTATGTTGGTTTCTCTGGCAACTAGAAGGTGCCTTTGATCCCTCTATACCATCACTTTGTTTTTTGCATTTTGATGATTTTATCATGAATTCATATTTAATTCATGCTGAAGTGATGCAGTAAGTGGCAACACTCAAAGAAAAGATACTTTTTGCAAAATCAAACTATATTCATTTGAACTCTGGATGAACTACTCCATGCCTTTGAAGTGGGATATATTAATGAGGACAGATATTAAGAAAAAAGGTACTTACTCTTAAGTCACGTTTGTATTATCTGAGGTTGCAGTGCAGGTAGATCTATCAGATAAAAACTAGAGTGTGCTTTTAGTAAACTTCTAGTTGAAAAACACTGACAAGTGACTAATAGTTTTGTGTTAGCTTTTTGATTCTTTTGGCCATTTTTATCTCTGTTACTGCTGCTTCATTATGTACTCACTGATATACACGAATTTTATGGACAAAACCACATGTATAATTAACATGAACTGCACAAATGCAAGACACATTCAGTGGAGTGGTAACAAAAGCTGCCCCATCCCTGAAAGAGTTCAAGGCCAGGTTGGATGAGGCTTGGAGCAACCTGGTCTAGTGGAAGGTGTCACTGCCTGTGGCAGGGGGCTGGAACTGGGTGAGCTTTAAGGTCCCTTCCAACCCAAACCAATCTGGATTCCGTGACTCTTGTGTCTTGTTTTTATGAGCCAGCTTGAGCTAGCCTGAGAAACTTAATTTTGTAGGAGGTAGAGGACTACTCTTCTTTAAAAGCAGTCTTCTTCCCCATGGCAGGGGATTGGAATTAGATGATTTTTAAAGTCCCTTCCAACTGACACTGTTCTATAATTCTATCGTTAAAATGATAAACAGGTATTTGAAAATTTTTCAAAAGTTACTTTCTGACCAAATTTGCCTCCTGCAAGGCATATCAAGTGGATTAATACCTCCTAGCCCTTGGCTATGGATTAGATATGTTGTGAAAGCATGTCTCCTGTTGCTCAGAATTCGCTCTGATGGACAAGTGTGGCATGTGTGCAAGAGAGATGGTAAGAAAGTGAAAGAGGGAGAAAATAAAAACAGGTGGCAAGGGGCCCAGAAACAGTAAAAGTCTGAATGAGAACACCTCTATCAGTTCTGCAACAGCAGCTTAAAGGCCCAAGGAGAGAAATAGATTTTGTAAATCAGCCTGAATATTTTTTACAGGGTGCAGTATGCAGCTTAAGAACCCAGGTGGGAAAAATAGCTTTTGCAGATCAGTGAAGAAAATACATTTTACTGGCTACTGTTTAGGAGCAGGGAGATGTAGGATAGGGAAGACCTTTTACAGAACAAAGAATGAATACTTGTCTATGTGGGAGGGAAGGGGGTTGTTTTGGTTTAGGTTTTTGGTGTGGGTTTTATTGGTTGTCCATAAAAAGCTACATGAAGGAAGCCACCAGCATTGTATAACCCTTTTTACTGGTTCCTATAAAACCCATAAGCCTTCCTTATGTTTAAAACATTATTTATTGATGTGTATTTTTCTATTAACTAGTCATTTGTGCATATAAAGCATCTCTTTGTAGAGCAGGCCTGTTACTGATTCTGCTATATGGTGATTTTGGAGATGCCTTTTGAAATAACAGAAAATAAGTAAATACGTTGGGTGGCAGCTCTTGTTTTTAAATGAGAAACAGAAAGATCAAGCAAAAAAATCTTCAGACAGCAGAGGTTGGAGCCATACAGAAGACCCAGCAGTTTTGCTGTTATGTGACCCTTTTGAAAAGCACGATGCCTGCCATCACAGGCCTAAGGAAGGTCCTGCCCTGAGAATATAGAAGGATAACAGTGGAAGTGCAGCTTTACCAGATGAGAGGGGGTTTTTATTACTAGTCAAGGGAATTGGTTAATAGGTCTTAAGGAGCACTGAAATTGGAGGGAGATGTTTACAAAGTTGTAGCATTTTTTGTTTGTCTTGTCTGATCCATCTTTCTTCAAGATGGACAGGAACTGTGCACAGATTGGGAGCAAGATAGACTGGCAAAGAACATACTGAATCTGCCCACTCGTTTCTTATGTCAGTAAGAAGCTGAATAGAAAAGATCAGAACATTGAGACATTTTTCATCTTAAAAAAAAAAAAACAAAACACCAAAAAAAAGGACAAAATACTCATTTGGGTTTTTTTGGCAAAACTGCATGTGGGGATTTTCCAACCTCTCTAAATTACTCTGCCTTGGAGCAGGTTCTCTTGTGCTTGCTTGGAAGCTGGGGCAATTTTTGTGAGAAGGGAATTGTCTTGCTTCTGCTCCCCGCAACATAAGTGCTGCAGGAATAGTCACCATGACAAATCAAATGATCTAATACTACTGTCAAAGGAAAACATTATATTAGCCAAGATATTTCTGCCTTCTTTGGGACAGGTTATTGATGGATTGTCTAGGTGTCTGGTGCCAGGAAGGGGTTTGGGAAGCCATATATATTCCTTCTCCTTTCAAAAGGATGTTTTTTTTTGTTTTGGTATCTGTTGTCCTGAGGTCTGCCCATTTTCCTACATCAGAACTGCTTTTGAGAATTAACCTGGTATTTCCAGGCTAATTCGTATGGCTTCGTTGAAAGGAGAATTTCACCTAAAAAGTGGTTTTCTCAACAAGTGGCTGTTGTCATCCATTGAGGCCAGCCCTACTCAAGTATAAGCGCAGCAATAGTTAAACCTGTGTGCACTCAAACCTGTGTGCACTCTCTTAGATTTTGGAATGGATGCAGTGAAATATTGCACTTTACCTCTTGAAGAAAAAACATATATAGTCTGAAATCTCAATTTCCAGCAAAACAGCCCGTTTGTGGTGGGTTTCAAAGGTTTTATTAAAGGTTTACCACCCTTTAGTAAAAAAATAAGATACCCACTTAGAATCATAGAATCAACCAGGTTGGAAAAGACCTTCAAGATCATCCAGTCCAACTGCTCCCCAGCACTGCCAAGGCCACCACTAACCCATGGCACTGAGGGCCTCATCTACACAGTTTGTGAACACTTCCAGGGACGGTGATTCCAGCACTGCCCTGGGCAGCCTGTTCCAATGCCTGACTGCCCTTTGGGGAAGGAATTGTTCCCAATATCCAGCCTAAACCTCCCCTGGTGCAGCTTGAGGCTGTTTCCTCTTGTCCTGTCCCTTGTTCCTTGGGAGCAGAGCCCAGCCTCCTCCTGGCTCCATCCTCCTTTCAGGCAGTTGTAGAGAGAGCAATAAGGTCCCCCTTGAGCCTTCTCTTCTTCAGACTAAACCACTCCCCTCCCCCCAGGTCCCTCAGCCGTTCCTCATCGCACTTGTGCTCCAGGCCCTGCACCAGGTCTACTGCCTTTCTCCGGACCCACTCCAGCACCTCACTGTCTCTCTTGTAGTGAAGGGCCCAGAACTGGACACAGGATTTGAGGTGCAACCTCACCAGTGCCCAGTACAGGAGGATGATCAATGTCTTTGTCCTGCTGGCCACAATGTGGCTGATGCAGGCCAGGATGCCATTGGCCACCCTGGCTGCTGGAAAGTGCTGTATGAGCAGAGAGCACTTCCAGTAAGGGCTGACCAGCCCAGGAGAACAGCCATGCTTGAGTGACTCCTGTTCTACTTCCAGCAGGAGAGGCAGAGCTTGGCTTTAAAACAACATGAATCTCAGATTCATGTCTATGTTTCTTAGGCATCTTTTACATAAATGTAAATTTTGAGTAATTCTTTTATTTTTTTTCTTGCACCTTTAAATTGTGTACAAGGTTATACTGATCCAGTTAGTTACAGAAACCCCACATTATTGAACTGGGTAGCTGATTAAAAGAAACTGCAAGAAAGTAACTCATAGGAGGCATGGGCTGACTTCTCGCTTGCTGCAGTACCAAGGACCTTTTTCAGCCCTGGTTAGAAACAGGAAGGTACATTTCATTTGTTTTCTTTCTGTGCTTGTGGCTAGTTGCCAGCTTGTCAATGAGGTGCTCTAAAAAGGACATTGAATCATGACAAAAACTGTCAGTACAGCTGTGTTTTTCCATCAGAATTGCAGGAAGCAGTCAGCTTCATGTGGTTTTGAAGCAAAACGGTATTCAGGGTCTTGCTGGCTTGAATTGGTGCCTAGGTTTGTTCATAAAGTTCTAGAAACTTTTTGACTAATGTTCAGATTAATAGTTTGCTGGAATCATGGAGCCTGGATGCCTTCATGTTGTTCAGATACTGATTACCCTAACGACTACCTTCACATGCTCTTCTATGTACAGGGGTCCTTATGTCATGTCAGATCATAGCATTGGGAGATAAGAGAAAGGCTGTAGGCTACTTCATTTGCAGCTATTTAAATGTTTTAGTCTTTTTGGTTTTTTCCCTTCTCTTCAATGCAGAAATGGGACTTCAGGCTTGTCTTCTCTGCAGAGCTAGATAAATGTTACGCCTTTCAGTATGTGGTAGCTCTTGCTGCAGGTAGATTTACATGAGTCGAGGCAAGTTGATTTATCTTCATAAGTGGCTACTCTTTAGAGTTCTCTCCTGTGGTGGTGCTCATGCCTAATTTATTTGGAGTTTGCAATGCTCTGACCCCTAGACGGAAAATGATACCAGCGTGGAAGTCACGTAATTCAATCAGCTATAGTCTGCAGCAAGGCAGGATCCTTCACATTGTCTGCACAAGTCTGCTTGTCACAGGCACTGCTATGATAGAAATAGAAGTAGCAGCTACAGCTGAGGAATTCTTTAGGAAAACGAGACAATGATTTCATTTCTCTTTTTGGCAGGGTCCAGCAGGGTTCAGAGAGATGTGGGAAACCTTTAATCTTCATGTGTTAAAATATTCTCCTTCAGCACGTTGTTGGCAAAGCAGGGAATGTGACACTTGCAGGGGATTCAGGTGTGGCTGAGGACAGAACAGCTTCAGAGAGAGTATGAAACGGCTCATCTTCTGGCACTGTCAGTCATGCAACCCACCGTTTTGTAAGCCAGTCACATATCACTGGTGATGTGTATTAATCCACTTTCTGCCTATGCCATCACCTCTCATATTTGCTATTCCAGTTTCATTCCTTTTTTTTTTTTTTCGGTTTTTTTTTTTTTTTTTTTTCAGAAGACCACAGGGGAAATAGATCTCAGTGACAGTAGATGATAATTTTGCTCTATGCACTCTAGCTCATTACACAACCTGTGTCTTTCTAAACCAGAAAGGATTTACATCTCCTCCTATCGTTTCTGCCACACTCGGATTCAGTGAAAAAGCTTTGGGATGGCTTGGAGTAAATTTAATTTTCCCTGCTGTTCCACGAGGTGTGAATCACTTTCCAGCAGATGATGTCACTGCCAGTTTACAAGTTTTTCTTCCTGTCTTTCTCTGTAGGAGGAATCCTAAGGACTCTCTTTGTCATGGTAATGCAGTTAGGTGTAGAGGGTTATGCAGGGCAGGAGACAGTCTTCAGACTGTTTTATTCTTGCCAGCACAGTTAAGAAGCCAGGTTTGAAAGGTGGGACATGAAGTGCCACATTCAGCCTCTGGCTAATGGAGACTGGAGGATTTGTCCAGGTTCGGTTCTGGGATACTGTGAAGGCTTGCTTTCGGTGGCACCTGTGAGTGTAGGTTGAACAGTGAAGAATTTTGTTTGGTTTTCTTTATTTCTGACACAGAAGTTGAATTACACTCTGGGAAGCTCTTCCCAAAGAGCAGAACATTTTATTCTGTTTAAAAAAAAAAAAAAAAGTGCCTTTCAGTGTTAAGAACATTTCATGCCCATAAATTTTGAACTGTGGGTTCCTGTGAATTGTTCTTGACTCCTTGCTCTTGATGTTTTACTAGGATGATGCATGTGATTGTTTCTGCTTTCACTAGCTTCCCCAGCTTTTCAATAGGAGGAGAATAGTTGGTGAATGCTGCTTATTCTTCCCATACAACTGATCTTGTAGAAAGAATAACAGCATACAAAACGAAACAGTTCTGTATGACAAATGGAATTCATGTAGAGAGGGACATGTATATAGAAATGGGAAACCAAAGTATGCAATCCTAAAAATATTAATGCATATCACCTCTATAGTCTCTTTGATGCTCTAAGTACCTTATTAACCCCAACAAAGAATTGCTGGGCTGAACTCTTGTCTCTGTTTTATAGGTGAGGACACCAAAGCACGATTACCTGCAGAGCAAACTGGCATTGTAGCCACAGCCTCCTTCCTAACCAAGGACCCCTCACTGCAGAGGTCTTCAAATAACAACCAATGAGCTGCAGCAGAGCAGGACAAGCTATTAAAACCAGTTAGCAGGATGGAAAATCAGCACGTATGGGAAAGTTGGTGATCCGAAATGAACTTGTCAAGTGAAAGGTAAGAACATTGCGTAATTAGCACTGAAAGAATAGAGATTGTTCACAGATTATCAGTGTTTATTAGTCTTAAGGGGCAGATATTAGTATTTTCTGTAATTCAGTCATACAGTTCTTTGCATATATTCTGTTTTGTCCTTTCTTGGATGCATATGCTGCCTTCATGTTAAGTTTAGCATCTACTTCTAGTCTGCTCTTTATATATCACTTATTTGGAGAGTCAGTGTGGAAGAAGGTAAAAGTTCTAGATTGGGAAGGATGGATGGAAATTACTCCTTAGTAACCTAAAACAGGAGCAGATCCCAATTTACCTTTTTTTTTCTTTTCCCCAGAGGCCTCAGTCTTGGGAACTGTATTTGCATACTATGCAGGTTTGGATGGCTGGCTCTTAAAGACCAAAGGTAAGCTCTTGTTGAGTGCTTGAAAATGTATTTAAATCTGCATGGTCTCCATCCAGCTAGCAGAATATCTGAAAGGATTAAACAGAACTATTGTAAAATGTTGCTGTTAGGCAAAAAAGAAAGATGCAAGTAAAATTCATATTTGCATTGAATTCTGTTTGTTTGGCTTTATAAGCATATGCAGCTCAGCTAAGTTTATTTATTCTTGGCTTGCTTCTTTTCATGTTTGAGGGCATGCATGCCTTGTAAATGCATTTGCTTACTCCCATGATGATGCCAGACGTTAAAAGGGTCAAGCTAACTTTGTGGCAGTGAATGCATTTTCTGATACTTGGTAGTTCTTTAAGTGTCTCTTAGGCAAGTATCAAGCATGTTATAAAAATTGTGCTTAAAGTGGTACCCATCCGTGAGCTAAAGAAATATTATTTTACAGGTAGTAGCGATAAATGGAGAGAGGCAGGTGTTGATTCAGTAAGCTAGTTAAGAAAAACCTTTCATTCTTATTTGGGTGCAATCCCTTATTGTGAGTAAAACACATCTGTTTCACCAACTCCAAGCCCCCCCTCCTCTCCCACACCTACCATCGTCATTCTTGGTAGAAGCTGTTTGGGATCCCTGCCTTTTTATGTTCTTCCTCTCAAGTAGTTAATATCATCACAATGGAAGGTATCTCTTTGCATTAACAAAGAACTTTTTATGATTAACTACTGTTTTAACTTTGTTAACAAATGTATACTATTGTTAACAAAATGAATATACTCTGCAGAGTGTGTGGGATAATTGCCATGACACACCCCGGGAGCCAATGTGCTGATTGTGCCTATGCCCAGGCATCTGCAATTCTGAAGGTGGCTGGTTCACACAGCGCTGTTTCCATGTAGCATTTATTCAAGGGGACTTCCTAATTACAGATGTTCAGCTCTTACTTTTAGCATGCATATTTGACTCGCAAGCAGTGGGAGCGAGTTTGTGGGCTTTTAACATCCAGAGTACTTCTGATGCATTTTCAATCATGGAGCGTTGTGTCATTGCCTTTCTATAGCCGTGTGTTGACTTGTGCTTGTTTGTAAGCCATATTTGGGCAAAAAACAATACAAAACGTCAGATCTCTGTCCATTAACTTTCTACAGTTTAGCTTGCAGCAAGCATCTGGATTTATTCTAGGTATGTTTTGTAGGGGAATATTTCAGAAAATCTAGCCCAGTGGCTCCTGTAAGTTGTGTACTTAGTTGCATGACCAGGTTACCCACCATAAGACTGTGTTGTTTGACATATGTTGTTTGTTTGCTTTTGATTTCTCTCTTCCTTTTGCCATATTATTGGATTTGTAATGGGTAAATCAGTATCTTCACACTGTCAAAATCTTGTGCAATTACAGACACTTAGAAGAAGTTTCCTCATTTGTAAACTGTGAATCACATTATGTAACAATTTTTAGCCACATGATAGTTTCTTCCCCTTGACAAAACTCCCCTTACAACTCCCCATTTGCTGATTTTATTAGAAATGCTGCAGCAGAAGTATGTGTGGAATCTAACTCCTTAGGGAAACATTTACCTCTTAACTCTTGCAGTCTTAATCTTCATTCCTCCCTGTGTGGTGGTGATGTGATGAGAAGTTATATCTTCAACCACTTGGTTTTTGACCCATGACTTAGGCAGCGCTCACTTTCTCCAGTGTCTTTTGCAGCTATGTTCTGTTGGCATGCTCTGGGACTGCTTGTGCATGCCGCCCGTAATAGGTCTTTCAACAAGAGCCATCTCTGTGTATCTGGAGGATGCAGAAATGAGCCCGGCCTTGACCAGGTATAGGAAGTAATGTGAGTAAATTATACCTGGCACTTCACAACCTGGGCTTTTATGGTTTTATTCATGCAGGGAGAGAACATGCTGGCCATTTGGCCCAGTGAAGACTCTAAAGGTGCCTTTATGAGCGCTCCTTGTTGTGACTGACATATCTGAGGTGTCATCCAGGGCTTTCGTGATCTCTCACGAAACAGGCTCATGAGCTTTTGCCTTCCGTATATTGCTCTCAGAAGGCTAAAGCAGCACAGTGGCCATACATTGCTTACATCTTTCACGTGGACTAGACAGCTGGGCAGTGCTGAGCATTGGTGGCTTTTCTCTAGCGGGACAGTTTTTTTCTCTGCTGTAAATACTGGGCTTGCAGACACCAGCCAAGACCAAAGATATTTCTATAAGCAAAAAAACCCCACAAACCCAATCGAGTTAATGGTACAATGGACAGAGACAGAATAAAACAATGATGAACAAGGCAGGCAGAAAATTATTTGTGGCAGGATAGCTACAGGAGAAGTGATCAAACATGAAGAAACGGCAGGGAAGCATCTGTTAGTGCTTGAGATTGCATCTTGGGGGGAAAGCCAAGTAGATACTGATGATCTTAAAGGTCTTTTCCAACCTAGTTAATTCTACAATTCTGTGTTGGAGAGACAAGGTGAAACATGTAGTCTGCGAATTAGAAAAGGAAGCTGGGTGGACATGAGATTAGTTGGGAAATCTTTGAGGTGGAAGAGTAAGACAAAAAGCACAGTAGGTAGGTGGCTATAGCATACAGATGAGTGGTGGTTCTGAGAGCTTCATAGTGTCTGTGGGCAATTCAGAGAGACTCTGCACAGACATGCAGGAGACACTGGAGAAGACTTGATAATACTTGGAATTCATTAGCAGACTTCAACCCCAGAGTCTCAGTTCTTTCAGGGTCTTCAGATTCCTGCCCCTACCTGACAGTAAGCTCTCTGATATTTATGCTTCTGTTTCTGCTTAGAAGCAAAGCTCACTTTGGAGGCACAATGGAGGTTTACAGTTGGTCTAGCCTTCTGATCCCTTTGACAGGAAATACTTAATTCACTGCAGGTGGAGCCTAAATTGCCTCACATTTCAGGCAGGAATCAATAGCACTAGGTACTAAGCTAGTACCACAAAGAGTGGCCCATGGACTCAGTTGGACAGGGCCTCCAGCGACCTGGTCCAGTGGAAGGTGTCCCTGCCCATGGCAGGGGGTTGGAACTGGATGACCGAAGACTGACTGGTCTTTTCCAAACCAAACCATTCTATGGTTCTATGACTTAAGATACAATAGGGTAGCAAGATACTGAAGTGGCAGTGACAGATGGAGACTTAGCTCAAAGGAGAAAGAGGGAATACTTTGATCAGCCTCTCTGGAGTGAGATTGGGAAGAGACACCACCTACTTCAAGTGGCATAGACAGTCCAGGAGAAATGCTGGGCATCTCTCTATGCTCTTGCATTCTCTTGGAAGTTGTCTCAGTGATTTTCATGCTGAAAACGATGTGGTAGTGCATGCTCTGTCTCCCCCACTCTTGCCTTGTTAGGCATCTTTCTTGCCAGTGGGTGATGCTCCAGGAGGGAATTGCACTTCTTCCAAGGAAGAAGTCACCAGTAGCTGAGTTGTTAAAAGCAGCCATGAGACATTTTTGAATGATAAATGTCAGTGTTGCAAGAATGGTTGTCTTAAATGTGGCTGTTTTCATGGGTTTAGAGTGTTACCTTGGCCATGTGACACTGACCTGTGACTTAGGAATGTTGTGTCTCTTCTTAATGAAGAACATAGTTCTGGATGTTTCTTTTTTAAAGGCAGAGCACTGTAATCTCCAGACCATTACTCTTATTTCAGTGTTGTGTATCTTGAGGTCCTGTATTGTATACATCTGCATGAGCAGGAGGCTTTTCTTTACTGAGTGCCCGTGAAATACCTATTTTTAGAGGACAACCCGCTGTTCATCCTTGGTTATTTTCAAGCTCCTTTCTGTAACTCAGTCCTGTTAAATTGTGTTAAGCACAATGGCTGTTACTGTGTATCTTTAAAATTAGTTGCTTTTTCTCATAGCAAAACAGGCGTTGTAAGAAAAAGGCAGTGGAATTGGGGTAAAGGCAAGATCTGTTATTTGAAGCCTGGGAAATCTTTGAGTAAGGTTGAATACAGTGGTGGTGCCTACAACCTGTGAAAGCGCTTTCACAAATAGCTTACCCCCAGTGTCTGTGGAAACAAATCCTATTCAGCATGATATATGAAATCATAACCCTCTGTAGTATAGGAATCAATGGAACCATTCATATAATAGATGACTGTTCGGGCTTGTGCAGACTCCTGCTCAAACATAATTGGCATCCGTGTAATAAAATACTGAACACCAAGGGAAATGTTTTAGATGTTTAAGAGCCATCACGTGCTTTACTATAGGAGATTGACATATGACTTTGTAAAGCAGAATGGGCTAGCTAACACTTGAGTTACTATTAAAGTATTTAATACTGTGTTAAAGAAATACAATGATTTTAGGTTTTCCTTGTGTTTAATGTATCATCAAAATCAGCTATCGGGGGTCTAGTGGGAATAATAATAGAGCATCAGATTGAAGCTGTGGATGCCTCTTCCGTGGCAGTGTTCAAGGCCAGGTTGGACAGGGCTTGGAGCAACCTGGTCTAGTGAAAGGTGTCTTCCCGTGGCAGGGGGTTGGAACTGGATGAGCTTTAAGGTCACTTCCCACCCAAACCGGTCTGTGATTCTTTGATTGGCAAGCCAGTGTTTTTACATGAAGTTATTGCTCAAAGACACAG